AAGCCGCCGCCGCCGCTCCCCTCCGAGGCAGCTGCTGGGCGCGCCGCAAGGAGGTCCCCGCCAAGGTCACCCTCGCCCCCGCCCCGTGCTTCTGCCTGGCGAGGCGGCGTCGGCGAGGCGAGCTGCCCTCCAAGGGTTAAAGAATCCCACTCCTCCCCCTCCCCACCAAGCCAACGCCTCCGCCGGCCCCCTTCCTTCCCTCCCTCCCGCGAACCGGCGGAGGAGCGCCAGCACCGCCTTTGCGCACTGGCATTCCGGGATTTCCCTTTGTTCAGAGCCGGGAATCCTCCTCCAAGCTTTCTTCGACGCTCTCGCCCGACCGCAGTCCTCAAGTCTCTTCCTCCAGAGCACTTCTATGTCTTTCCAATGGAACTGCTCCGGAGCAAGTACTTTGAGGACGCTTTTTTAAAAAAATTGCATGGGGGGGGATATGCTTGAGCGCTACTAGCAAACGATACATTACTAGGTGCTTTGAGGATTGCGAACCTCCAATGCCTGCATCTTTTCTAACGGTTAAAAAAAGAGAGGTAACCCCCAATTACATCACACCGCAGCCTGCTTTCCCAAATGGCCAGCGCTTGCGCAAGCCAGCCACACAAGTCGATTCCCGGTCAGGAAAGGTTCGAGTCCGTTGAGGCCAGAGGCGCTCGGGGTCATTTGAACGAGGAACATTCATTAATCCGTGCCATTGTGAAGCCTCGCCAAGTGCTTCCTTGCACGTCACACTCACACTCTGCAGAAGTGCACGGGGGTGCCTTCATGTGCAGTGCTGCACATGAAAGTGCAAAGCTATTAATAGACCTCCCCCCCCCATAGGGACTGTGGCGCTACCCCGATGAGATAACCAACCTCTCATCCCGGGGGCGGGGGGGGGTATCTGTTAGTGAGTAAATCCAGAAGGGTTTAGGGGATTGTCTGAGTAAATACTGGAGGGGGAAACCCCGCTTTGAACGCCCTGGAGGTCTCCAGATTGAGGGTGGGGGGAGCGAAATAACCCTTACCTGACCGAGCAGCGCTTGTGGCGGCAGCAGCGGGTGGTGGTGGTGACAGGCAGCTCCCCTCCTCCTCCGCCCTCCCCGGCTGCGAGTGTCTGGCGGTGGCAGGTGGAATCCCCCCCGGGCGAGGAGCGGGCGGGGGGTGGTGGTGGAAGGAGGAGATGCGGCGTGCGCCCACTGGGGCTAGGCGTCACTGGTACCAGCGGCGGCACGCGCCGCTCCTGGGATTCTCTCGCGCTGCCCCTCCCCTCCGCGTGCGCTTCTTCTCACGCTGCAGCTTTCCCCCCCTGCAGGTGACGTGATGCCCGTTGTTTTGGTACGCCCGACCAATCGGACTTGCCGCCTGGATTCTACGGGAGCCGGGATGGGCCCGTCGTGGCGGCAACAGGACTCCCCTCTGCCGCCCAGAACGCATTGCGCAGGGTGCACCAGCGCCTGGTCCTCCTGCAGCTTTAACAGCTCTGACATGGAAACACCATTGCAGTTCCAGCCGGGCTTCTGCTCAGAGCAGCAGCAGCAGCAGCAGCAGCAGCAGCGCCCACACCCGCATTACCAGCCCCAGCCAGCCAGCCAAGAGAAGTCGGCGGCTCAGCAGCAGCAGCAGTCCAGTCCATGCCTCCAGTGCAACCACTGCGCCTTTTACGAGGCTGCGGCTGCCGCGGGCGATAACCTGCCGCTGCTGCTTCGCACTTCGTCGCCTCTGGCAGGTGCTTTCCGGACTCGCTCCTCGCCGCTCTCGTGCTCAGCAGCCTCCTCCCGCCAGGGCAGCCAGCTCAACGTGAGCGAGCTGACCCCGTCCAGCCATGCCAGCTCGTCCCGGCAGCCCCCCCACTACGCCCAGTCCCACCACTCCCAGCAGTACCACCAGTGCCATAGCCAGCAGCCTCAGCAGCAGCAGCAGCAGCAGCAGGCGGGCACCACCCACAGCAGCAACGGCGGAGGCAGTCACCACCACCACCACCACCACCACCACCACCACCCCTCGTGCCAGCAGCAGCGCCGGGAGAGCAACCCCTTCACGGAAATAGCCATGAGCAGCTGCAGGTACAACGGCGGCGTCATGCGCCCTCTCAGCAACCTGAGCTCGTCCCGCAGGAACCTCCACGAGCTCGACTCCGAGTCCCAGCCGCTCCAGCCCCAGCCCCAGCCCCAGCCCCAGCCGCCGCACTCCAGTCCCAGCGTCTCGCTGGCTGCCTCGGCTGCCGCCGCCGGCCCGGAGATCGTGGTCTCCAAGCCCGAGCACAACAACTCCAACAACTTGGCGCTCTACGGCACCGGCGGCGGCGGCGGCGGCGGCAGCGGAGGGGGCGGCGGCGGCGGCAGCCAGACCAACAACGGCAGCAAGTCCAGCAAGAAGAAGA